CGACATCAAAGGTGCCTTCGATTCGGTTGATCGATGTGCCCTTTGGAATTGTCTACTCAGAAAAGGTGTACCCGAGAAATATGTAAATATTATCCGAGCATACGCGCGTAGCACGGGCAGAGTGAGAGCTTACGGCAAGCTGTCGCCACCCTTCAATATCTCCAGCGACGTGAGACAAGGATGCCCGTTGTCACCTTCCCTCTTCAACTTCGCTATTGATGAAGTCATGGAGATTGCATTTACAGGATATGACTAGGAAGGTGTGGAGCTACTCCCAGAAGAATGACTTCTTGACTTGGAGTATGCAGACGACATTGCCCTCATCTGTGACAGCTCCCAAACGTGCGAAGCCGCGCTGGACAGATTAACACTGGCTGTCAGCCGCTTCGGGCTTTGCTTTGCATCATCGAAGTGCAAAGCGTTCCTCCAAGATTGGCAAGGATCGCCTCCTGCGCTGACCCTTGGTGGGGATCAGCTAGAAGTCGTTCAAAAATTCAACTACCTGGGAAGTCGTAGTAGCGCCCTTGGGACCAAAGACGAGATCACGAACCGTATAGCGAAAGTTCGAAGTGCTTTTGCTAACGTTCGCCACCTATGGCGGCGGCGCAACATAACTCTCGACCTGAAGCGTAGAGTGTACAATGCAGCGGTACGTTCGACCCTACTGTACGGTTGCGAAACTTGGCCCCTAAGATCGGCGGACATGAAGAGGCTAGTTACGTTCGACCATCTGTGCCTTCGCAGTTTGGCTCACATCTGGTGGGAACACCGCGTGAGTAACGAGCGTGTTCGACGCATTGTTTACGGCCCAGGAAATGGATCTGAACCGCTCAGCACCGTTATTTCCCGCACCTGGCTTCGATGGTTGGGCCACGTGTTGCGCATGCCAGCCCACTGACTTCCACGACGTCACAGTATGACGCTTGTGAACAATGCATTGGTAATATGTATTATGCCTCGGCGATTCTCACCTAAATTTTTTTGCGATTTTAAAGCCACTTATCTTGACAAACAACCGCCAGTCTGAATGCAACTCCCCAATCTGCCCCATAACGTTGATTGAATCAGTCAACTCAAATACCAGCGAGTCCCCACCGTATTGCAGCGACAATCGAATGACGTCATTGGGTCCAAACATCTTGATTTCGCTTTAATATATCCAGATCATTTTAGCAATTTTTTCCTTTGGATACCACCCTGCTTTCGGTGGGTTCAGGAGGTTCGGCAAGCAGTGGTGATGCAGCTAATTGTCCACTTTATCCTTCGAGCTCTTCTATCTGGCTTTCAAGTTTTTTGATCCATTCTTTTTCTACTGTTCATTTTTCTCCGGAATTAGTTCATTCCACTACCGCTTTGGCCTACTTGGAATACGGTTCCGTCTGTCCAGATAGCACTTTACCCATCTTTGCTTCCCCTCACTGTATTTCTCTCCATCAGCTTGGTTTCGGGGTTCGAGTTACTTGGATCCGCCACGCCTCGGTGTTTTGACTTGAGGTAGTCGTTCAGTATGCTCGCTAACTTGTATTCTGCTTAACTGATGTGCACACCATTCAAAGACCACACCCACTCTCCACGTACTTCGGGGGCACTTGGTGAGCCAATTTGAAGGATGATCCCAATAACCTTTCTCAAACATACTTAAGGTAAACAGCCTTGTTTCTCTGCTGGTGTACACGACCATTATCGAACACATCGTAGAATACTTGGTCTTCTGCAACCTTACTATACCGCTAGCCGTGTAGGTTTCCTTCGGCCTTCATCAACATTGTTGGGCAATCTCGTGATTGAATATAGGTTTTGTTTTCACTACTCCCCTATTAACTGTTACTAGATTGGTCTGATTCACATGACTTCGCGATCGCCATTGGCGTAGATCAGCGTAACACCGTTGCCAAATACTGATGACTTACTGTTGCGGATGGCTATGAAAAGCTCTCAACTTTTCGATTATCAACAAATATTTTGCTGCTCCCACTCATTTGTGCCTTGGGACTGGCAGATATAGACTCCTCTCACTCTCAACAGTGTGCCACATAGACTGTTGTCTTGTTCTCATATTCTGCTACACTGTTATGGTTCTGTTCTGTTCCACCACATGACATCTGGCGACTAGCCATAGTTTGCAGTTGCCTTTTAGTCCTTTTAGCTTATCTGGAGCATCATGTGTCTAAAGAAGAGGTACCATCCATTTCTTGATCTCGACTACCTCCTTAAACTTGTGCATGGTAATCTCGCATCAGACTGTACAGACTTGATCGCTCTTGCACGACATCTTATCGGCCTTCGCTTCACCCATTATATCCCCATACTGTTGGTCTTGGGAAATACTAAGAAGCTAGTGTTGAGTGGCTCATGCCATGGCATCAGTGATTGCCACAGGAATACTGTTCGTATGTGGGTGATACATCCATTTCAGACAAGATTTGACTCTGCTTCCATTCGTCTTCCTTCCTTTCGTTAAGAAAACAAAGCTCTGTCTGATACAATTCCGTTGTAATTTTGTTATTTCTCTATCAGAGATCTGTTTCTCGCTTACATCTCCGCCTGACCACTCAAGTGGTAAAACCGCAACTTGCTTGTCCACAGCAAGGATAACGGACGCGATTCGAATCGCTAACCAGCCACTTCCCAAATCCGAAGACAAAGGACTTGAGTAAAATTCCTATTGAGACTGGAAATTACGGTGTTGTTAACAGCCAAATTACCTTGTGGTAGGTTCCAACAGACCAAAAACTACCGAGTGCCGAAAAAACGCTCTCGTTGGTTTGCTCCAAGATGTAAGTGCTATCATTGCCTGACTCTACTGTAAACGCCGTCTCATTGGTTCACTCCTAACTAATGGACTTCAAGCTGGATGCTAGAGCTGTCTTTTTGAACGGCTCCTATGGACGGACTCCCCGAACATCTGCTTTTCCTAGAATCGACCTAATTGCATGAACGCGGTATCCCGATCTACTCTAATAACGAACACGCTTTTTCACCGCTCCTCTTGCCCATCAAACTGTTTGCCCTGTTTCTCCTAGTCGTTTCGCTTTGACCGTGCATCATGTGCACTGTACCTTGAATAGACTACATCTGTCCCGGTTGCAGCTGTATCTGCACGGGACGATCTACTACATGCGCCGATCCCGTGTTTAAATCCCCAAACACTATTCACTTACGGATCCCGAGGTGATCTGTCCATTGATTTATCACAACTGTGCGATTGTTGGGTATACCCAATAGGACATTGATTTCTTCGGTAGATCTTCTACGGATAAGTGAAGTACCCCGCCTATGAAAGTGTTCTCATCGTCTGCAGTGGGACACTGTTTACTTGCACGAGTGCTTTGCTACCACGTAGCCAGTTATTAAAACGGGTTACTCTGCTGATGATCAATATTAGATGATTTAAACCCTTTAGGCGAACAATCCGGATCAAGATGCTCACGCCCCACGAGCGCCACATGGTCATAGACAGCTGTTACTGTCCGAAGCTCAGGTCGCATCAGTCATAGATTTCTTGTAGTCTTACTTGTACCGCGTCATAGCCTCGCCTTAACGGTGGCTCGGCACCAGGCAATCCGGTTTTAAGTGACAATAGGCACCTCACTCGTGCTTATTTGCCAGCCATCTTCGAGCCTATCAGGAGGTGGGTCGTGAAATGCAGATAGTGCTCTCCTCAGCTGCGTGTGGGCGAGTGCGCATCGCAGGTAACCCAGCCGCTCCAGATTATTTCGCCTTATTTACTGGCCCAACACACCTGTTCAGTCATCCTCACTTAAAGTTCACTTGCTCACCCCGCCTTTCATGCACATTCCCTAGACCGATGATCACAGAACAAAAGCCGTCTGAGCCGCTCACTGTCTCATAGGAGAACGTTCCTCAGTATGCTTTTCTACACACGATATAAAAGACCAAAAGAAATCCCATTTTACGCCAAACATGCTTCAGCTCTTTAACGGCGATTCTAGCTCCCGTGATGCATAAACAATCTGCGACACTACCCGCTTTTTCTGATATATCTTCCAAGCTAGTTGAATTGTTCACCTCCGCTCTGTCCCCTAGTCATCTAGGCCAGGGGGCTGATGATCATGCAATGACAGTTTACAAATGCGGGGCTCAAACTAAAGTATGAATCATTAAAAATATGTTATCTTGAATTGATTGCGTTGATACCTATTTTTTCAAGCAGCTAAGTAGTGTCGTCCGCATGATTCACATCGGCAAAGTTTCCACCAATAGGCTTATGCTACAACCGAATCAGACTGAGCGAAATGAGGTGACATGGCGGCATGAACGCGTTCCGAAGGTACACCCAGCAATGCAGTTAATCATTAAATGTTTGAGCATGGAGCACATAATATCTCCCCACACTCCATGGGAATATCTTTTGAGGAGTACATCTAACTAAATACCAAAATGCTACTCTGAGAGTAAGGTTTTAAGCTACATCTCTTCACCCTACGTTATCCAACCCTACGCCATTTTTGTCTCCTTTGCTAGTTACTTTTTTTCCTGCATGGGCACTTATTTTCCTGTCCAGGGTGCTTGCTTTCATCGGTACACAAACTGCACTGTGACCATCGGATCGGAACAACAGCAAATTACACTAAATAAAAAATGAGCAATATATAATGCTTTCCGACCTCAGCAAAGTGACCGTTGTATTCTTATGTGGTACATCTGTTGATGTATTTGGGGAGTCAGAAGCAGTGGCAGCAATGAATAAAAGTGGATTCCACTACCGCGAACACTACTGCATTTTGCCCAACTTCACCACCATTCCTCGGTCTGGAAGTTAGCTATGGCCTGCAAATTCGAATATTCCCATCCACTAGTTTATGTGTCGTTTGGGTTACACTGCTAGTCCGCGTTAACAACACCACTTCTCAGTCGAGCACTTACGGGTGCTTATCCTCTAATGACGTCCTAGAAGTGTTGATCACTTCTCTCTTGCTGTCATCGTCTACGATCCACGGACAACTTTATCTGGTAATGTAGGCACATGTGTCCTTACACTAAGTCTCTATCTTTACTACTACATATTTTTTTCACATTCCCCAGCTCTGTGAATGCCGCGATGCTCGCGGTTCTACGAATGCCTCAAAGCCGGTATTTTCGTGGCTTTCGGTGCCACTGCAGCCTCGTTGGGTTTCTCCTACCGAGAAAAGGTCGATCGGCGCGTTGAGGCGACCGAATCACCAAGGTCCTCACAATTAGTCCCCTGGCCGTCTTTTGTTGATTCCGAACCGGTGAAAAAAGTCGGCATTCCTTCGGTCAGCCATCTCCGTATTTTCGATGGGTTTGTATGCGCTTACGATCGACGTACACGTATTCCCCTGTGGGTTCTTGAACACTTGACTCCTGAGAAACTTTCACCGCCCACAAACAACGGAAAGTCACTGCAGCCGGTCGACCGGTAGGGGACTGTTATCTTTATTTATTTGGTCGTATCCCTTTTGACGTCTTTTATCGTCACACCATTCCACTCATGTAGTTGGTTCGTTACAGCTTAATTTTTGAAAAAAACCGGTCATAACAATTTGTTTACTTCTTCAATGAACCTTCGATTATATCCTCACAGTTTGGTGATGTAAGCAACCGGACAGTTTTGACCTGGTTAGTACAAGTAGCCAAGTTCCAGTGGTTGTCTCGCGCAGTTCACTTCCGTTGATCAACTCTGATCTATATGCTGGTTCGCGGTGACTCCGATCGCTTCACCAAGTCACCAAAAGATAATAATATGATAAATCTCAAGAGGAATAGACAGAAAATCAAACTTATCGCATAGAGTAATCAAGTCCGAAACGTAGTTCGAACGCAAAGTGCCACTCATTCTGCTATCGTGCCATATCCAACAATTTCAAATCATTAGTATTTTAGGTTTCAACTACTCCTTCCACGAAGACAACGCGTGCCTGCCCTAATTAACCTTTCTCTAACTTTATTCATATTTTTGGGCACAGCTATGGTAAATGATATATACTGAGATAGCTAACTAGTTGGCATTCGAAAGGCATGACCTTACCATTGCGAGTGATTAAAGCTTGGCGTACTTTTGAATTGGTTCCTAAAGGTCTGTTACTACCTATTTCTTCTGTGTACCGCTTCTTGTCAACTCCCGAGCATAAATACTAATACTTCTCTTGATCCCAATCTGTTTTCGAATCACTGTGCATAAGCCTAATCGAAGGATTTCCTTCCATGAGCTTTCTAGTTCACTTGCTCTTGATACACCTTTTATAACGCCGTAGATAGCACATCTTCGTCTGTATTCCTGCACTACCTTCTAGTGCTTAACTAACTGTCACTCGAGTATCGCGTTAAACACATTTCTTCCTCCTTCTTTCGATCTCTGTCTTTTTCTCTTTCTCGCCTAAGGAGTCAGCTCAACTATTACGAGGATCTCGGTGAACTCCACATGTTTCGTGCTACCAACGAGGATTATAAGTCTTCCGGCTACGATCGCGGACATATGGCAGCAGCGGGTAATCATCTGTTCGAACGCGCAGCCATGGCACAAACCTTTATTTTGAGCAACATTGCCCCTCAGGTTTGTACCGTTGCACCTTGTATGATAAGTTTCCTGTAGCGTTGCGTTCAATCATGTTACTCCATCAGGTTTTGAGCGGTCGCTACCTCTTCGTTTTTGTCTAAATCAGTTTCTAATCCAATGGTTGCACATATTTGTTTTTCTTTCCAGATATAGTCCATGTGCATTGCTTCAAGCAATCAGAAGAGTAGGTTGATTGGAACTACACAGATTTAGATCAAAATAACACATCTTTCGTCTTTGTCTATTTCTGCAGCTGATTTGCTTGGCTAATATCTCCCATGAGGTTGCACATACTGGTGCTCACATTCCGCCTGTGTTGTTTTTGAGTCCTTCTGCTATCCTTCATGCTAAACTTGTTCAACATCGCAAGCGAAACCTTCATTTCATCCGCGTTCTTCTTCCACCTGTCTCGTAAATCGATCGACATCCCTGTTGTGGTGATCCCTGATGATATAATCCCATTAAGCTTACCACAAGTTCCAGAGCATAGCAATCTTTCGCAACTTAGCTTGCAATCGCCCAATTCTTTTTAGTTTGGTTTCATACTGCTTGCTTGTGCCTTATCTGTGCTTTTCTTCTCGTCAGAGAAGTATGCTTATCACGTATGCTCAATGAAGAGTTAGTTCCATGCTGTTAATGCGCCGTCTTTTACACCACGTCCGAGGACGGTCATCATCATTCTGGATGCTCGTCGTCACATTCCGGCTGTGAAAGAATACAGCAAGATTCGCAAACCTGTCAGGGCAAAATTGCGTGTTAGGCCGAAAAGACAGTGAAACTTGCTTGTCTTAATACGCTACAAAAGTGGAAACAGCCTCCGCTCTTTGTAACTATCTGAACTTATTCTTTTTAATACGGGAACTGCGTAGCAGGAGACCTGGTGTCAGCGAGACGGGCAGCCTATCGACAGGCAATCAAGACTCCTGAAATGTTAGGCTGAGCACTATGAAAAACAATGTAATCGGCCAAAACTACTAGATTCGCTAACGACCAGTTATCGCCCTAGGTAAATAGATATGTGGTGTATTCCTCGACATTACGAGACACAGACCGGTTACGTGGCCTGATCATATTGTACAGCATAATCACATAGTGAGGAAAATTGTCTACGTGTAACAATTTTCTCCTGAAGTGTTGTGAATTTTCTATCAATTAAAAGTAATACAAGAAAGTGCTGATAGTAAGAATAATTTTAAAAATCCTCAGCAGTTCAAGTAAAATAATACGGCCATCCATGGAACCGTCCCCTGGGTACCTGCTTCCATGCGGGACAGACCCTCCAGTGATTTCATCCGCACTTCCACGTATCATCTGGCCATGTGCTGCTGGGCTTTAAAGCTTTGACTCGTTTAATTTTTTGTCCTTTTTCTGGCTGCAAATATATGCAAAAGGCTCTCATCACATTGGCACTTGATATTTTGGCCCCTATTACAAGCAAATAGGCCATCGACAAATTGACTTTTTTGCCTCTGCCGTGTGCAATTTTGCTGTCATCACGTTTACTCAATTTTTTTTCTCTCGATAGCTGTATATTTCGAGGCAATTCCGATACACAGCCCATGCTCTCATACATCATATCTCGAGTCCAGCACTTTTAAAAATGCGCCAGTGATTATGTGACGATTCGCATTGCACGGGTGCACTAGACAGGTCAGAAGCTTCAGTCTGTCACATCAGGGGATTAGCCCAGCAGTGGCCAACAATGATAAAAAAGAAATGTAAACAGGAAAATCACTAGAACTGGGAAGAAAGTACGATAACGATAAAGGAGCGACAGATGGTGGTTCAATTTTAGATGTACATAAGGATCATAGTAAACAAATGAACATCCGAAATATTCATTTAAAGGAGCATTCTCAGAGGAATAGTGTGATGGCTCCGACAGGTGCAGATGATCGAAAAGGAGAGATTGGCTGCGCAAGTTCATTCTACAATGCTGTGTTGTGTGATGCGGATACCCAGTTTGTTCCCTCCAAAGAAGAATAAAGGATAATTAGTAGGATGAGATACGTGAGAAGCGTTGGGATAATAAAACTTCAAGCCTAATTGCCATCTAGACTAACATCGTAGAAGTGCTGTGGCGAACAGGAGAGCATAAACTTCAAGCTGCAAGATTGGGTCTGACGGAGTGACTAATACGTTGTGAGATCCTTATTTTTAATATTCCCTGGTCCTCGGTCGTTCTCTGTCGATTAAACAGTCTAGCCATGTTCAGTAATGGCAGTGATTGACTAAGTTCCGTTTTGAATGGACCGATTGTCAGATTAGCTCTTATTGAGTGCGGCAGTCGGTTTCACCTAGTGAGTATCGAACTACGAAGAAGTTTGCACGAACTTGCAACGTAACTTTTATTGGAAGAGAATAACTTCTCGATTCCTTAAGTTGTATTCATTAACCTCCCTAAATTTAAACTGTGTGCTTGAGCTGAAGCTGAGGTTGTGTATCAGTTTATAAATGAAAATTAATTTCAGCTTCAGTCTTCGTAACCACAGAGAATCGATGCTCAGTAATTTGCATCTGTCGTGATATGTTGCTAGCGACGTTTCACTCAGAAAGCTTTTAGTGAATGATCGCTGCAGACGTTCCAGTGATAAGAGATCACTCTTACGCATGTGCTTGTACATATACAAGGCAGTACTACAAAAGTGGGCGTACACAGATCAAATAAAGAGCTAGCTTGGCTTTGGGTAAGACTATTGAGTTTTTGATTAGGCTTAAAGCACATCTTCTTTGATAGCTGTTGTTGAGCGTGAGTTGAGAAGTCTAGTAGTTCATTGTAGCTGAAGCCTAGATCACGGACGGACTAAGTGATAGAAATTCGTTCCCCATTTAAACTTCAAGTTCTTGGTGGGAAGCTACATCTATGCCAGAGTACGCGGGACATGTGCCCGGAGAATTTAATTAACCTTTCATTTGACCAGATTTCAAGGGAATTCAGATCCGTTTGAATAGTTTTGATGATTTTCTGCAGATGTTCTGGAGGAAATATGTAGACGATTTCATGCCATCCGCAAATAGAAACCGTTTATCCGATTTGATTTTATCGGAAACATCATGGATGTAGATGAGGAACAGAGTGGGATCAAGTACCGCTACCTTACAGTACTCCACTCGTTATTGCACGCGGTTGTGACTCCAGGTTATTTAGTAAGACAGTCTGAGTGCGACACTCTAAGGAGATAAACCAAGCCAGAAGTGAGTCACGGACTCCGAATGACCCATTCTTCAACGAAAGTCACTTATGCGGAACATAATTGTAGACTTTGTGCATATCAAGGAAGATGACCAGTACCGACATTTTCGGCATTTACAGCCGACGTAATGTAATCTGGAAAGTCTACTTGGCAGGTGTTTACTCATAAATCCATGTTGTTGGTCACTTAGGAGTCTGTGTGTCATGAGGTAGTCAACGAGGTACTTTTTGCGTACTCTTTCAAATACTCTAGGAATGATGGGAGTGTGATTACTGGGTCAATAGTTACCCACTTCGTTTCGTGTTCCACTTTTGTACTATGAAATGATGATAGATTGTTTCCATTGGAGTGGAAAATGACTATATTTTAGAGAAAGGCTTAACATTTTGCAAAGTAAACTGGGGATGTCTTCGCCACCATGCACAAGTAAAATTGAGGGAATGCCGTCCGGCCCCGCAAAAGTAGTGGGTCAAACTGATTTTAGGGCGGATTTAATCCCTGCGATATTTATACTTATCTCCGACAGTATACGGTCAGTGTAACTCATCTGGTTGGTATCTACAGGCTTGACCTCGTTAATAAGTGAGGAAGCAAAATATTCACTGAACGCCTCACACATGCAAAGTTGGTCCGTGATAAGTACCTCTTTGTGTCGGATTGAGACGGGGATTCGGTCGGTACATCTAGGATTTCTTGACTGTAGCAGTTATGTGAGCGCGGCAATTGGAAATTGCCAGACGCACTTCACTTATATGTCGCAGCCTGTTTTCTGTAAAGATCTTATTGCAAAGACTATTTATACGTATGATCATGGATAAGTCACCAGTGTTGTTATACCTAGCCCGAAGGTTTGCGTAGCTTGCGACACACTTGATGAAAAGTTGCGGATGATTCTATTCGCTGGAAGTAACATTTGTTTCCATGACGCGAGTATGTTTATACATGTTAAAGAATTTGTCAGGAACTCTGACACAAACTCTTCGATATTTCTGATCAAGGAAAAGTTATCGCGGTTGAGAGACCGGAGAAGTCTGGAGAATTGACACCAATCGACAGATCGGATGGGAGGATACAATATTGCAGTGTTTCCATGGTTCCAGGTAGAGGTGATACAGCATTTAACAATGTTATGATCACTGTCCGGGAATTTATCCCGGACAGTTACATCAACACATGAGAGGTTAAGAGTGAATACTACATCCAGACTGTTGTTCATACGTGTGTCAGAGATAACTTGTTGTGCCCAACCTAATACCGATCCTCGCTAGAAGTCAGCGTATTTTGAGGACCGGAGACTGAAGCCCACGATACTTCTGGCATGTTGAAGTCCCCAGCAATAATCTTACCTGTTGAGTAATGTGTTGCTGCGAACTAGAACGCCTTCCTAAGTTTAACAATGGCGGAGTCGTTGCAAGGTGGTGGGTTATAGACCCAACTCACCAATAAGTCTAGAGTGTTAAAGGATGTCCTTATCCAAACGGAGTCATCAACTGAGCACAAATGAGAGTCAGTCAGTTCCTCTACCCAGAAGTCTTGTCAAAAGTAAATTGAACAGCCCCCACCTCTACCCGTTGGACGACTTTTGAGAATTAATTTAAAACACGTTAGTTGAATAAGCGTTGTTCCCTTGAATCCGTCTTCACACGCCGAAGTTAGCCATGAGATCAGACTGTTGTACTTGAATAGCACCACAAGACTAGATGGGCTTACTCCAGCCCTCTTCAAATTCGGGAAGCAGATCTTGTAGACGACTACTTATTTAAACCGTGGGAGAAGAAAAGTGTTCCGACCGACTGCAGCTGC